TCGAAATGTCTCCGGACATGACTCCAGAATGTCTCTACGGTGTCTCCCGAGAAATGTCTCGGCATTGCCTCGAGGCAGACTCCTTTTCGAGACTTTATGGATACACCTACGAGACACCGCGATGCCTCGAGTATATCTCTACGTTGTCTCCAACACGGCTCTAGGGTGACTCCAAATTTATCTCCAGAATGTCTCGTAGCAGTCTGCATGTCGTCTTCAATCTGTCTGTACGATGTCTCGGCTGGAGACATTCTAGATCTCCTTTTTTCTGTACGGGAAGTTGGGGAAGTTTCTCCCAAGAAATTGTTTAGTTGGTTCGGCCGTTTCAAATGACAGAACAGTAAGAGTATAATTGTTGCTTGTTGCAACAAGAGTAGACAATATAGTGGTTACAGAAGTTTATGTGCTTGTCTGTCCAGATACCAGTCAATATATTAGCTGGCTCAGCGAATCTTTTTTTTTCCGTGTACCCCCTGTGCGGACGTTCAAACCCCGCCGCGCACCCCTACCTGGAGCCTCTGGAGCGCGGCGCTGGGCTGGTTATTTCCCTCTGCCACTAAAACCAATTGAGTCCCCGCATTCAAACAACTTGGACTTGACACAGAAGATTCGTCTCTTTATTTTGCCTTTTGACTGTTTTTTGGGGCGTCTCGCCTATCTTGCATGGCGGGGCTGAAATGTAGTTGAAATGTTCCATGAAATCTTACGATCACACCTACGGTTTATTTTGGGGGCGAGAATGATACTTATCTGCACCTTTGCATGCAGTATTTGAAAATATGCAGTGTATTGATGAAATAGTACTTGTCAGACAAAGCAATTGTCAAACCGTTCACCCACGACAGCCGTTAAAAGTAACATAGACACAGGACCGGTTTTCTGCGCCGGGCTGCCCTTAACTGCCACATCTAATTTTGAATTTCAGGTATGTTGTAGTACGATCCAAGATGCACACATTCCACTAAAAATTATTTCATTTGCTGTTTTCCAAACGTTAAATATTTAACATTATAAATGCCGCTCTTAGCGGGCGGGTGGGCCGAGCGGGCTGTGCGTGCGCTGTCCTTCTCGCACCCGCTGCGTGCAGGGAGGGAGAGACAGAGAGGGCTGCGCGGTGGACGGGGGCGGCGGGCCGGAGCGGAGGCCGGCGCGCGCTGCGAGGGTCATACATCGTGCCAGTTGAGGCTTCATATCTCTGCAATGGTCCAAGTCCCCCGTGAAGTAAAAACATCGACATCAAGGTGACGAATGGGCGCACAACTTTGCAGTGAACAATCTTTACGTTACTCCTCTGCCATATTTGCTACGTCCTGAGGAGCGCTAAGGCACGACACTGGTACTTTACACTTTTCTCAAATATTGTTTATTTTTGGCTGGGTGTGGGTCATTCCTTTCTACAACAGAGGTATAGATTTGTTCCTCAGTTCTTCCCGGTCATTTTGATGCTATTTGCAGCTTCCTAGGTTGAACACGACAGTTGCACTTACGCCCTTTCGCGTTCAATACCGGGTTTCCACCACCAGTCCTAAGGTGGGACTCGACGGATTCGTCATCTACACACTTCCATGCACAAGTCCACCAAATTTCAGCTAACAGCTAACTATTCAAATTTTCCTCGCTTTGGAAGATAGGTACCGCGCTACCTGCAGCTAGTCTTAGGATACCTTGAGGTACAATAATCTATGTCGACTTTTAAGATCCCAGATTTTCACTCCACCGTAGTATTTGCTATCTTTTGTTTGTGTCGGGTAGCATTGCTACTTCTATATCTTTGAAATATAACTCATAGGCACATTTATGCTTTCAGGCGCCCGAGAAGATTTCTTCACTCCTAATGCATCAGTCAGTGACGACTTATACATAATGCCAACGAACTTTCGTTTAGGAGCTACATCTTCCGCCTACCAAACGGAGGGCGCCTGGGACACAGACGGTAATTTGGTCGTTGCGGCAAAACAAGAGTGGCAACTGCTGTGGTAACCGCTTACAGTGGCACTTGCATATCACTGGATGATGACGCCACACGCATTTTAGTCTTTGAGCACAGTCACTCATTCACTCCCCTCAGAGTCACCCTGTGCCCGCTGGTGCAGTTCCAATAATAAAAAATAACAAATCCGTGGTTGTGGACTTAAGCGCGCGTAAAAGGCTTCGCGATGCACCGTGGTCGCCTATAAGCAAGATGAGGGAAGCCTAGAGACATTTCTCCTCCCACTGGTCCTACAGCGGAAAAGGCCAACTTAGACGAAAAGCGGAAGGGGGGGGGGGGAGATTTTTTTCACACAATTTTTGACTACTAATTGGTTTTATCTTTCCTTAGGACATAGTGTTGTCCAACATTTTTTGCACAAAACTGTCCCAAGCACTCTCCGTCTTTCTTATAGTGTCCTGCCGTCATCACAGAGTCAATCGACAGTAATTTCAGTGTCCGTTTCTTGTGGACATGAAGCAGCATGCAATGTGAGACGGCCATGGTCTCACATATGCTTGAACGCAAGCAAGGCTTTGTTATACGTTTCAACACACTGAATGACCGCGGTAATATCGTAATATCTCTGAAATTAAACGACTTTACTCTGAAAACTGAACAGTCTCCGTCAAATCCGATATTCGAAGTAAATATCGACACTTGAAACCTGTAAACACGTGGCGTCTTGGTATAAACACGCTCTTCAGTAGGGTGTTCCAGGCTATCTAAAACGGAAGTGAAAAAGAACAAACTCACTGATTTATCTGTTTCCGCCAGTTTAGTATGAGAAATTACGATGGTAGTTTGGTCCGATTCAAACCCTTTAAAATATGTAGGGGACCTCGTAACTGATCTGACAGTTTTTCATGCCAGAAAGGCCGTAGCGGGACGTGATCAGCTCGACCAATCAGAGCCATTACGGAACCAGAAAAGTCAGTGAGCTTGTTCTTTTCCTACTTCCGTTTCGGATAGCCTGGAACACCCTATTACGACTTTGTACGGTGACCGGCTGGATCCACAAGCAGGTCCGTATAGTCGTCCCAGACAAACTTCTCGATTGGGCGGCCGTTACGGTGCAGCCTTTCTGAACGCTACAGTAGAGCTAGGGTGGTTCTGTTTGCGCCAAAAGTTGCGTCTTATACAGGCCTAAGACGTCACCAAGTCTTAGGCTTCTAGCTCAAAAAGTGACCGAGATGTGGGCTAAAGACGCGTCGCCTCAGTCGAGAAGTTTGGCTGGGACGACTATACGGACCTGCCACGTTCTCCGTGTTATAGTAGTTTTCAGGTGTCGATACTCCACAACGAAATGAAATACGTGCGGCTTATTTGCGCAGTCTTCAATGATCACAGCTAAAAGTCTGTCACGGCTTGTGCGCCGTTTTCCTTGCAGGAAAGGGACCGAGCATACAGGATAACTTTTATCATGGGAGCGGTGGCGACTCTGGTGATATTGCCTGCAACTCATATGCTGAATACCTCGTGGACGTTAATTTGTTGCGTAATATGTCAGTAAGTTCCAAACAGTTGCATATAAATAGAGTGTTACATATCTCAACACATTAACGTGTGCCCATAAAAATGTCCATAAAGTGTGTTAAACCCAGCGTATCTGCACTTGAAAACGCTTAACTCGACGAACTTTGCAAGTGTGCAATTGGGAAGTTTAACAATTCAAAATTTACTACTCCTAGTTCAACGCTTTTAAGTGAAAAGCTTTCAAGATTTTTACTTGGAGCTGCACATTTAAAACTGTGACAGGGTTTAACACTTATGAGTATTGTACATTTTTAGGGCACTCTACTATCTGATTATACTTTTTAGCCCGCCCTTCTGCTTTGAAAAAGCTATCCAGCGGGCTTATGCGAACGACCTCGTGTGTATCTGTTTGTCTGTTTCACTAGAAGATGTGTTAGAGACTTGAAATTTTCAGGGTATCTTATAAGGTCCACTCCTAGAGAACGAAACGCTTACGCAAATCCTCGCTAGCAACCACCCATAAGGGTGTGAATGGGGGTATCCAAGGTTCAAAAATTCTCCCTAAAGTATTTTTATAAATGTGTCCCTAAGGGGTATCTCGTCAAAGTAGAGCTCGTTGGGCGAAAATGTCGTCCGTTTTGCTCTATCTCTAACCGTTTAGGCGCTAGACGGTCTTTTTTGACGAAAATAGGCTAAAAATTGCCATAGTGAACAATATGTTGCAGAAAAAGGCCGAAAAACCGTAAAACAGGAAAGAAACTTTCCCTCCACCCGGGTGGAAGGATCTAATGCAAAACTGTAGACCCAACTACAGTTTAAACTCGTACTGTGTCAATCTAAAGTTAAACTGCAGTTAAACTACAGTTTTAAACGAGTCGGCAGGTCCCGAGGGGGTGCTGTCTTCGAAAATCATTGTACAGGGCCAAAAAAATCACAAAAAAGTCAAACGCAATC